CAGAGAGTCTGATCTAGGGTTTTCGAAAAATTCACATTATTTTCAGAGTTACCACCAATTTAAATAGTTATCAGCGTTTTTTTCTTAAAATTTCTCCCCTCTGTTGTAGTAAAATATGAATAAATCTACTTCTAAGTTAAATATTTCAAAAATTCTAGTTCAGCCTCTGTACAGAAGTCTGAGATATATACAGGCAAAATATATTATAATAGAATCATTAAGAATATATTATAATAGAATATATAATAATAGAATATTTTTCATAAAAGGAAAATATTTTGAAAATGGGTCATTCTATGTTCATTTTTGGTCAAAATATTGTTTTGTATAATTTTTTATTGTAATAATATTCTTAAAATAATTTTATATACGTTTTCTAATCTATAAATGATGCTAAATATCATAAATATTATCCATTTATAAACTTTTCAAAATCACGGTTCCGAAAGTTGTCCGATACCTTAAATCCACTATGAAGTAATCCTAGGGCTATTGGGCAACGGGCCTTTTAGTTCTGAGCTTCCGTCAAGGGACGATGACAACAATTAATCAGACACCCCCTACCCTCACTAATAACCAATGGGAAGGTATTGAACATCTACGAATGCAATCTGCATCGACTCCCTTTACATAGTGGATGTTAAGTGGCATCAGAATTAGAACCTGTGACAATCCAACCACAATTGTGTGTCCTTAATCACTAGGCTTCCTTGGGCACAACGATATGACGTATACACACATATGACACCTTCTGTGAGAACGAGAGTAATATTAACGTCGCACTATAAAAATACCCGAGAGCTATTGACGAAGGACCTCGTAATTTTAAACCATGCTCAAGTGACAAGAATGATACCCTAGCTGCCCCTCTCCCAACTTCTACACCACACCAACGAGAGGACTTTATGACTTTAAGCCTCAACAGATTTAACGTGCATCAGGCCTCCTTCACACGGTGGATCTTCAGTGGCACCAGCACTCGAACTCGTGACACTAAGGCCATGAATTCGTGGCCATAACCACTAGGCTACCGGGGAAACAACATTCGGCTGGAACTAATGTATCATGGCGAATACATCTAACACCTTCTGTAGCAGAAACACTTTAATTAGAGTTGTTTCACACTTATCCGCATTTTAATCATTTGTTTTAGAATAACTTATTCCTTCACTGCATTTTGGCAGTTATACCTTTGCAGACACAGCAAGTCACCAATTGTGAGAGCACTTTCCTTGGTGGCACCATCTAGTGGCAGTTAATACTACTAAAATTTTGATTATTGTCTTTATTTAACTCTTAACTCTCGTCGGGTGCTAAATATTGCCGTGATTTAATTCCTTCCAGAGTACAGGAACCAAATTAATACTCCAGGAATCTTTTACATACCACACACTTACATGACATGCGCACCTACGATTTTCACATCCAGAAAATCTATCGACTCCTGCTGGGATCAAGCCCGCAACCTTATGCTTACGAGGTGGCCATGCTATATCTAAGCCACTGAGCTGACATTTTAGAATAACTAATTTGCTACTTAATCTTAACTAAACTAAGACTGATTTTTTATGAATAATCTTTCACTCTTATTTACAAAAAATACACCTCTTTCTAAATTTCTCTCAACTCTTTCTTAATTAGATTTATACCAAACTCTGTTGCTGTATTTTTTATTAAAAGAGATAATTTAGTACATTCTCCATTCGCAACAAGTATTTCATGCCATGCTAAGTACATCGTGCCAGTGTACAGTTTTTATTTCAAGGAATGAACACTTACGTGATTAATAAACGAAAGCATCACTTATTTTCAGGTGTTTCGTGCTTGTTTTCGTCGTGAAAGGTCATTTGTTGGGTGCAAAACAAAGTGAGTGAAAAATTTATAGTTTCCGCTTTTCTAATTTATTTTTGTCTACAAGAAAAATTTGAAGTCAAGTTCTGTGTTATAGATTGTGTGTGTGATGGCTTAATGGACCACGAGTAGAAAACAAATATTAATAAAATAGAAAATAAAATTTGCGCTGCATGGAAATAAAAAAAATCTGTTAAGGATAGCAGCAATAAATTATTTTCTGACAGATAGCCTTAAGGTTAATTTCCCTTGAGTATTTTTATCTGAATTTATTCAGCTTAGAAGATATATTAAGCTGAATTGATATCTTTCAGATTACAAAATGCTTTTACAGAAAGAAAGGTTTAACGCAGGGGTGGGCAAATAGTGGTTGCAAATTTTTTTTTTTTAGCTCTCCAAGACATTCAGAACATTCACTTTGAATCGAGATTTCTTTCCCGTTCGCCCTGTAAGTATTTCTATTAAAAGATCATCTGTAGAGTATGGAGGACAAAATCACAAGATCTAACGGTTTTAAGAAAATGAGAATATAAAATCAATTTGTTAATATTTGGTCCGTTACCCCATTGCTACTGATATTGATGAAGTCCCTGAGGAGCTACAGCTTAAACTTAAAGACTTTTCAGCCAGATAGTGTGAAGAAAGGTTTTATGCTATGTTTTGGATTGACTTTTACAAATCATTGTCAGCTGAAAAATTTTCATGAATGAAGAAATTTGATGGGAAATTATTCTTTATATTTAAATCGACGTATATTTTTTAGCAAAGTTTTTCTTGCCGCCCGAAGATCAGCAAGAGTAAATGTTGATGCAAGTTGGCTGACATTAACTTTCAGGCTGTGATGAGAATTTCAACTAGCAATCTTACACCTGATTTAAAAAAAATATATAGAAAAATATGATAGTGAGCATTTGTCTCATTAAACTGATTCTAAAATTAAATGTGCTTGCAGCTTTGGATAATATGAAATTAGCACAAGAAATAATTTCAATAAAAACTGCCTTATTTTATTTAACTTATATTTATTATTTTTTCAATTCCTACTATTAGCTCGCACTGTCTGTATATTTATTTATTTATTTATCTTGGTGGAAATTTCAATCGCTAATAAAATATATTTTAAAGTGCTGAATTGAGCTGACATTTTATATACAGGATCATTTTGGATGACAATACAAAAATTTAATTATAATTAATAAAAATTAATGGATTAAAACTTATTATTTAAAGAGTTACAAATACAGCCACGTTGGCGACTTGTGTGAAAACTTGAAACGGTTTTTTTCTCACATATTATAGCATTCAGTTGGACTGAAGTTAAAAGGACAATACGATACTTTAATGATAATTAAAAAATTAATTACCACTTAATGTTGTGATTCTGTCCTATGTATATACATATTTATATTAATTGTAACTCTTTAATAAAAAGTAGCTAAAATAAAAATTTTCGTTGTTGATCTAAGTAGGAATCGACTTAAAAACTATTTTTTATATTACTTGTTATAATGAATGTAGTCATTTTAAAAAGGTGTGGTTCTCTTTATCCTCCACTCTCACCATGCGGCCAGGGAGCCAAAACAAGAGTATGAAACATTTACCAATATTGATATTCATCATTGAACAAAATGTTTCATAAGTTTTTTAGTTTCTCTTGAAACAAACAAATATTTTAAATTGCTATTACTAAAACTTGTCTATCGATTTGATAGATAACTTTTAATGAAGTTTTAGTAGCATTCAAACTCGTTGCCCTATTTGGAAAAAATCATCGACCATGATTTCGCGGCCGTGTCCTCTCAGGTATTGCATCCATGAGATTTTATTTATGATCACGTATCTAAATTTTATTGCCGGATAAGTTTTAGTAAAACTTGCAATTAGAAACGTTTTTGCAAATGACAATAAGGATGATCATGAATTGAGTTCGTTGTAATTAGTCATCAAAATGTCTGATAATTAAATTTTAGAATTAATTTTTCCCACGTTTTTCCGACAAAAAGAAAAATTGCATTCATTAAATATTTTTACTTGAAATTTAACACAAGACACATTAAGTATTCTAAAACTTACTGAATTAACAAGTAGAACTAATTTAAATTAAATATGCATTAATAAGCAACCACAAAAATTTTTTTATCCGGACTTCATAATGATATTTCGCCTAATACCTTACAGGAATTATTTTTTTACTACTTTGTACAGTGTATTTATAAGGGGAGGGGGACCGCCTTTTCAGAAATAACTTTCACAAAATCGAGAAAATACGTCAACACATTTTCAAAATATTGAAGAAATTTTACCCACCTGCATTCTCAAATAATAATATAATTCCTTCAGTAACTGGTACACATAATCCATAAACCCACATTAATATTCCTTTTTTTTCTTGAACTGAATTATAAAATCTTGAACTATATCGTAAAGTTGATACATAACATAGAATACACACAAAAAAATGGAAAAAGCGTTATTTTTACAAGTTTTTATTTAACTTGCGGTGTAAAATGTTAGGGAGGAATCTTGCAACTCTATTTTGTCTTCAACCGATTGAGCTGAAATTTTGTCTACACGTTTAGTTTGGATGACATCGCATGTTTTGTTTATTTATTTTCCAATATCGCAATTAGTTAAAAAGATATTACAGTAATTTGTTCGGGTGGAATCTTGCAACTCAATTTTGAAGCTGATGTCTTCAACCGTTTGAGAGACACACGTTTGTATACACGTTTAGTTTGGATGACAATGCATGTTTTGAGCATTTATATTCCTATATCTCAATTAATTTAAAAGATATTAGTTGCAGTAATTTGTTCAGGTGGAATCTTGCAACTCAATTTTCAAGCTGATGTCTTCAACCGATTGAGCTGAAATTTTGTGTAAACTTTTAGTTTGGATGACAATGTATGTTTCGACCATTCCTATTCCGATATCGTAATTAGTTAAAAAGATATTAATTACATTTATTTGTTCAGGTGGAATCTTTCAATTCAATTTTGAAGCTGGTGTCTTCAACCGATTGAGCTGAAATTTTGTATACACTTTTAGTTTGAATGACAATGCATTTCTTGGCAATTTATATTCAAATATCGACCTAGTTACTGTAACGATCTTGTTCAGGTGTTAAGGCAAGAATGTTTACATCAATGGGGGAAACCGGGGCGTAGCTCAGATGGTAGAGCGCTCGCTTTGCATGCGAGAAGTACGGGGATTGATGACCTGCCCCTCCAATTATTAATTTTCCGTGTAAAATATTTTTGAAATTCGCTTGATTTTACAACGAGATATTTTACAATGCTTCCACTCTGCATATGTACAAAGTATGTTGAATTTTTACTGTTCTAGAGGAAACACTAAGAAAGGCAGATCTGTCAAACTATTTCTATTTATTTTGAAACATTCTATGATATCTGTTTACTCGATTCTAATTTCTCCCGTAACACTTTTAATTGACCTCGTTACTGTAACGATCTTGTTCAGGTGTTAAGGCGAGCAGGATTACAATAATAAAGGTGTGGACTGGGGGCGTAGCTCAGATGGTATGAGAGATACGGGATCGATAACCCGCGCCTACAATTGTTATATTTTCGTGGATATTTTACAATACCTCCACTCTGTATACGTACAAAGTATGTTATATTTTACAAGGTTTTTTTTTAACTTGCAATGTAAATTGTTCGGGTGGAATCTTGCAACTCAATTTTGAAGCTGATGTCTTCAACCGATTGAGCTGAAATTTGGGTATACATGCTTAGTTTAGATGAATATGCATGTTTTGATCATTTATATTCCGATATCGCAGTTAGTTAAAAAGACTTGTAGCACGAGCTTTCTCTACATTTATATAAATTTTCCCTTTCCTTCACAAAATTAGCACTTCTATAATATTCTTTTTCAAAATGACTTCCACCCCGTCCCTCTCCTCCTCCGCTTAGCCCAGAGTTTCTTGGGCTTTTACCGAGTGTATAACTTAAAATTCCCTGTTTCGAAATTTTGTCGCTTCTTTTCTTTGTCAGACAGCTTTATTTCTCCCCGGCGTTGCACGAACATTTTTAAATGCATGGCATATTGTCATTGAAATTCCCTTCCCTCTCGCTATCAGAGCTCTCGAGTAAGTGAACATTCACCGATTCTTAAACAGCTTGACAGGTGGAGTGTAAAATAGGTAACCAAAAAAACTTGTTTAAGTGTTCTGAATCGTTTACAAAGAGAGAGAAGAGGTAAACATGTCATTACGCCATTACGCCGTTTCCGAGGAGAATATGAGCAGCTGCCTCAGCTTGAAAGGGGGAGAATCATCGGCATGTTGAAAGCTGGGTGGTCAGCTAGGCGAGTAACTAGTGAATTAGTCCCCTCTGATTGTGTTGTGAGGAGGTGTTGGGACTAGTAGATGTCATTTACACGAAGACCAGGCTCAGGACGCCCTCAACAGATCAGTCGTCGAGAGGACCACCACATCGCTAGAAATGTACGCATACAGCCAGCCAACTGCTTCATCGACCGCCATCCAAGCACAGGTTGCACCTGCACTAGAGGCCCATGTATCTTCTCGAACCATACGAAGGCGCCTGGCTGAAGGACATTTGGGATCGCGGCGTCTATTACGTGGGCTGCCCTTGACACCCAACCATCGAAGCCTCCGCCTGGACTGGTGCCGGGCACGAGGAAACTGGACTGCAACGGAATAGAACCAGGTCTGCTTTAGTGACAAATCCAGATTCAATTTCAGCAGTGATGACAATCGTGTTCGTGTGTGGAGACCCCGTGGTGAACGCCACAATCATGCCTTTGCTTTACAGCTACACATCGCTCCCACAGCTGCTGTGATGGTATGGGGTGCCATTGCCTACAATATAGGGTAACCCCTACCATTGATCCGTGGTAACATGATAGCCCAGCGGTATGTCTATGACATCCTGCAACCACATGTGCTGCCATTCATGCAACGGCTCCCAGGAGCCATTTTTCAACAAGACAATCCTCGGCCTCAGAAGGCAAAAGGATATCACAAGACTGTCTCCGCACTGTTACTACCCTTCCTTGGCCTGCCCGATCCCCACATTTGTCTCCAATCAAGCATATCTGGGATAATTTAGGACGACGAGTTGGGCATCCCACGATTTTGAACGAACTAGAGGCAAGGATACATCAAATATGGAATGAAATATCTCAAGATATCATACAGAGTTTGTATGCCTCAATGCTCGATCGTATCGCCTCGTGCATTCGCGCTATAGAGGGGGTTCAATGGGGTATTAAATCCTCCGTTCTTTTGCCTTTTTCTCTGAAATAATTGATCCTTTTTCTTTGATTTTCTAATCATTTACTTATATCAAAGTAGTATTAGTATGTAAAATTTGTTTTTTTTTGACACTCCATCTTGGTGCGTTAATTTTTTTCCATGATTGTAAAATCCCCGAAAATATTTTTTTGTTTGTAGAATAGTATTTTCCAAATTCTGCAAAAAGAATTGAAAAATTGGTTTAAAATTACGATTTAAAAATCTGTTTTTCGTTTTAATATAGTATTATAGTAAAAGCAAAAAAAAAAAGTTTTTAAAATTTTAATTAATTTTGCATTGTCCCAAAGTTGTTTTGGGCTAACAGTGTTTATCCCCTTTTCATTATCATCTTGTTGCGGCCCGAGAATTTATCTATCATATTTTTGTGGCTTGGCAGGAAAAAGGTTTATTACCCTTAGTTGGACTGTTCAAAAAATTTAAACCCGGGAAACGACCTTGCAAACAATCATGCTTGATGATTAACAGACTAAAACCTTTGTCAGAGATAACTAAAAGTAAAAATTTAAAAAGTAAAAACCTTTTTAAAAAAAGCTTTTTATTTAAATGCTCTAAAGAAGATAAAATAAACTTTTCTTTTTAAACTTTTTTTTTCTATCAACTTATAAAGTCTTACACAATTTATATATAAAATTTGTCGAAATTTATGTTAGAATAAACAACAAACAAATTAAATAACTTGTCTGATTGATTTTTAATTTTTAAAATTTTCAAACTAAGTAAAAAACGAGTACTTAAATCTCGGACAAGCTTTTATATTCAAAATTTGTAACGACCCAATAATTGATGAATTTAAAAGAAAAATTACTTTATTTTTTAAAAATTTAAATAAAAGTTTTAAAATTTACAATTATTATTTTCAACATGCGGCAAAATTTTTTTATGAATCTTCAATAAATTTTTCAAAGTTACGTTGACCTACAATAACATGTGTTTAATTGTGTCGATAGAGTGAATGGCAGTTTCAAAATCACCTGATATTTTTCGCATTTGAGTAGTCGCAAAGTCTAAGATATCAAATTCAATGCACCCATAATGCGTCTTCCCAATAATTGCTGCATCTATACTGAACTGGATACTATTCATATTGAATAGCTGCATCATCATGCTGAGAGCACATTTGGTAACAAACGACAATTGAAATTTTCAGAAATTCTGGTAAACATTTTCCCGCAAAATGTGACAGCATCGCTCATTGTGTCGTGTTGATAAGGGATAGAGTCTTTTAAGAAAACTGTTCACAATACTCACACAAACGTTCACCGAGAAAGGTTTTTGGAAGGAGAGTGGAATTTTATTCGTCTCACACAGTTATTGCGCACACTGAAAATACTCTAATGTGTAAAAATTGTCTTTTTTTCTGAATAGACCATGAAATGAGAAATCTACTGCAGCGCATGCTGCTGCAAAAACCATTTGCCAAGTAGGAAGCGTAGAGAATAATCTTTCGTTTGCAAAGCATCTTTGAAAATGTCTATTCATTCCATCTACACCAACAATCTTATGTTACTCTTGGTTGTCATAGTTTTGAGCCTTTATTGTAAATATACATAAGTGATATTATTTATATTGTAGATAAAAGTATGTATTTTCTATATAGAAATATTTTGCTACGACTTTACAAGAATGCAATTTTTTTACATCTCCCACTTCATATGAATTTGTGCCTCTAAGCGTTAATTCTACTTTTACATTACTACAGAAATTAAAATTTTTAATGAATTAATTTTGTGAGGTAAATTATACTTTTTTTTTTGCTCGCATTATAACAATTACTTTCTACTGTGTTGGTCATTATTTAGTCAGATCAATTTTTATCGTAGCACAGTTAAAATTATTTTATTATTAAAAAAAAATAATACAAAAGTATATTCTTGTCTCGGTACCAGAGAGGGATGCAAACTCTTTTAAAAGTTGCCCAAATTTTTATTTTTAAGCAATATAAGATAGTATACTTATTAATTAATGATTGCAACATTTTTTTAACTGCACACAATGAAAGATTCTCAAATGACCTCGAAAATGAAGCATCCAACAACATAAATAAAAATGTATATAAAAATTAAAAAAGTAGTAAAAGGACTTAGGTAAAATGACCATATCGCCATCTTGTCCTAATATGTGATAATAAAAGTATGCGATGTTTGAGACGGGATAATAACAATAAAATAAAAATAAATATCAAAAGAGAAAAGCATATTGCCTAATGTAGGCATGGAAGGTAAAGAATATCTTACTCCTTAACTTATGAGATAGTCTGAAAAATTACATGTTAAACAAAATTTACTACATTCTTTAAAACTAATTGCAACAGCTTAGCTTTGCCAGTTTTCAGTAGCTAATAATGTGGATCGCTATTAGCATAAGCAAGACAATGCTACTCAGTAGTATGGATTAAAATAAGTCATCATATTGCTCTATTCATCAGCTGGCTTCGGACTTAGGAACAGATACTTTTATTGCGACCTTCTACAAATTCTTAAGGGAAAATGTTTTCTATTCGTCATTTGATTGGCAAACCCTTTCTGTAAGGGAACCAAGACTCATGCTAAATAGTACTACTATTTAAAGTGAAATGAACAGAGTTCAAGGAAGAAGATAGCAATCAAATATGTTGATGTAATTTTAAATCATAATTGTAAAAACTATATTTGAATTTCTTCGCGCACCAAGATTAGGAGCCTTATAGTTCGACTACAGTTAACTGACCTGAGTATCTGTTTTAATAGGTAAGATTTAGTTATAATTATTAAAATATATTAATATTGATATACACACTCCCATTGGCTGTTACAAAAAAAATGATATTAATTGAAAGCGATAAGAATAAAAAATTTGTTGATTTTTAGAGATGCCTCTTCATTTAGTTAACCCTCACACCAGAACGAGTGGAGGTTTAATCTTCTCTATATACGTGCATGCATACGCACA